CAAAATTCCTTTATTGCCTAACAATCCTTGAATCTAAATTCAGCACCCATTTAATTATAGTCTTAATCAGTTTCTGATTCATATTTCACTATTATGATACATGTTTGTGATGAAAGCATTTACTATGAATGTTGACTTCCTGTTCTTTATTAAAACTGTGTCCATTTAAATAATTTAGAACCACAATTGATCTTCAGGGTTGTTAAGCATGAAAGATCATTCCAGATTATCAAAAGTTTTCAGTGTATTATGATTGCCCTTTCATATTATTAATAACATTCAAGATATAGCTGACATTGCCTGTCACCTATTTCTTTGGGACAAATCCAGTTTCAGCAAAAAAATATTAATTCAGTTTTAAAAAATTCCTCTTTTTGCAAGTACTGGGATATCTATTCATTAATGAAGTAAACTGAGGGAAAAAATTATTTGATTCCCTGCTGACAAAGAAATGATTTGCCCACTGACAAAGAAATGATCAGACAATAATTTTAATTGTAGGTTTATTTTAACAGTGAGAGACAGAATAACGACAAAAAATCCAGAAAAATGCATTTCAAAAAAGTTATAAATTGATTTGCTTTTTAATGAGTGAAATAAGTATTTGATCCCTTTGTAAAACATAACTTAGTACTTGTTGGCAAAACCCTTGTTGGCAATCACAGAGATCAGACATTTCTTATAGTTGGCCATCAGGTTTGCACACATCTCAGAAGGGATTTTGTCCCACTCCTCCTTGCAGATCCTCTCCAAGTGATTAAAGTTTCTAGGCTGATGTTTGGCAGCTTGAACCTTCAGCTCCCTCCACAGATTTTCTATGGGATTAAGGTCTGGAGACTGGCTAGGCCACTCCAGGAGTTTAATGTGCTTCTTCTTGAGCCACTCCTTTGTTGCCTTGGCTGTGTGTTTTGGGTCACTGCCATGCTGGAATACCTATCCACAACCCATTTTCAATGCCCTGGCTGAGGGAAGGAGGTTCTCACCCAAAATTTGACAGTTTATGACCTGTGCATCTTCCCTTTGATGTGAAGTTGTCCTGTCCCCTTAGCAGAAAAACACCCCCAAAACATAATGTTTCCACCTCCATGTTTGACGGTGAGGGTGTTCTTGGGGTCATAGGAAGCATTCCTTTTCCAAACACGGCGAATTGAATTGATGCCAAAGAGCTTGATCTTGGTCTCATCTGACCACAACACTTTCACCCAGTTCTCCTTTGAATCATTCAGATGTTCATTGGTAAACTTCAGACGGGCCTGTACATGTGCTTTCTTGAGCAGGGGGGCCTTGCGGACGCTGCAGGATTTCAGTCCTTCACAGCATAGTGTTACCAATTGTTTTCTTGGTGACTATGGTCCCAGCTGCCTTGAGATCTTTGATAAGATCCTCCCGTGTAGTTCTGGGCTGATTCCTTGCCGTTCTCATGATCATTGAAACTCCACAGGGTGAGATCTTGCATGAAGCCCTAGACCCAGGGAGATTGAGTTATTTTGTGTTTCTTCCATTTGCGAATAATCGCACCAACTGTTGTCACGTTCTCACCAAGATGCTTGGCGATAGTTTTGTAGCTCATTCCAGCCTTGTGTAGGTCTACAATCTTGTCCCTGATATCCTTGGACAGCTCTTTGGTCTTGGCCATGGTGGAGGGTTTGAAATCTGATTGATTGATTCTGTGGACAGGTGTCTTTTATAGAAGTAACTAGCTGAGATTAGAAACAATCCCTTTAAGAGAGTGCTCCTAATCTCAGCTCGTTACCTGTATAAAAAACAGCTGGGAGCCAGAAATCTTGCTGATTGATAGGAGATCAAATACTTATTTCACTCATTAAAATGCAAATCTATAACTTTTTTGAAATGCGTTTTCCTGGATTTTTTTGTTGTTATTCTTTCTCTCACTGTTAAAATAAACGTACCATTAAAATTATTGACTGATGACTTCGTTGTCAGTGGGCAAACGTATAAAACAGGGGGTCAAATAATTTTTCCCCTCACTGTATGTCTATATGATTCTGAATAGTTGTCATTTTCTTTCCTTGTAGATCAGAGAAATGAAAGCTTGTTTCCATAACATAGGGAGTTCTTGTCTTCATTAATTAACTAGGAGAGTGAGCTAACCAACAATTCTAGAAACTCTTGTAATATATTATGAAGATGTCATCAAATCTGGGAGCTTTATTTAATTTCAGTTTTCTGATTGCTTCCATAGTTTTGTTTAATTATGTGTTAAGAATTTCATTTTTGTTGATCTATAAATTGTAATATTATATTCAAGTATTCCTTAATCTTTCTGGATCAGATCTCTGTTTACTATATAATCTTGAATTATATTTAACAAATTGCTCCATCATATCCTTATTTAGTTTGCATTTCTAGTTCAGTACCAAATAGAAATAATAATTCTTTGGTACTGTTCATTTCTCAGTTGGCAAATCAACAATTTGCTTGATTAGGTGCTTTTTTCAAAATATTTAGATTTGATAAAATTCAAGTGGGATTCATATATTAAGGTACTTATTTCCTTCCATTAGAGCTAGTTAATTATGAATTATTTTAATGTTTATTCTAAATTCAAAATTTGGTTATAATTGTGATTTAAGTTCATTTAACAATAGATCCTGTTATTGAAAAAAAATTCATCTTGATGCCAGAGAGATAAAAAGTTCTTTTTAAAAAAATTCTTTATTAGAGTCCCTGTGCAGCAGACAAACAATCTTAAATTGATTTTGAACAAACATAATTCCTCTTGGCACTTGAAGTCAAAGTCATTATGTAATAATAAAAGTTGAAGTCTCTACCTCTTTAGTCTGGAAGGTTCTCTATTTAATCTTACAATTATTGTGTTATTATTTGCATATGTAGGCCTGTAACTTCTTGTCTAGGAGATTAATGAGTTAATAATCAAGCACATATCTATTCTAAAATAAGTTTATGAACAGAAGACTAGGATGTGTATTTTTATCCATGTTTGTTTATTCATTTAATTATATCCTACCTTTATTATTTTCATAAATAACTCAAGGCAGTGAATATATCCCACGTGCTTTTTTCTATTTTCCCCACAATAACCCAGTGAAATCTATTTGTATCTTTACAAATTGAAATGAGATAATAGTGACATATTTTTCATATTTTGAGGCAATGGTTCCTTTCAGATAAAACAGATGTCTATGGAAAAAAAACCCAAGAAACATGATTTCCTCTGCAATTTCACAAATTTACTGGAAGTTGGATTTTGTGAAGTGTGCCTGATGTTTCATAGACTTGTCACATATCAGATCTTAATAAGTTTTGAAATTGTTTTAGGCAATACTCAACTGGCATTGCAAATCATCAAAAGAAACCAGCTTCTCCCTTCAGTGAAAATGCTGTCTGAAATACGAAAGAAACCTGTATTCCAACCTCCCCACTTGGTTCAACCTATTCAGATGCCAGCATTCACCACTGTTCAGAGGAAGTGAACCTCTATAAATAGAATGGCCCTTTTGAGGGAGCACTTAAGATTTGTTTTGTAATTTTGAAAAAAAATGTTTTAACTGCATATATCATACATTGGTGAGTTTTTTTTCTTTTGAAATAAAATCTGCAGAAAGACGCAAGTCTCATTTTATTTTGTTCAAGATTGTTACTTAGAATGTTCATTGGTACTTTTCTTGTGAATCTCTTAGCAAAATGGTCCAAAATGGTATGGCATTTTTGCATTGCTCCCAAGAAATCTGCTTGGATTTTTCTGTGAAACAATTAAGCTCAGTTTGAGGGAGCCATTGCACAACTGCAGCAAATATAGTTATGCTGCAATAAAGATAGCCCTCAATTTATAACCACAGTTGGGATTAGATTTTTGGTTACTAAACAGTGCGATCATTGAATTGTCACATGACCTAACCCAATTTTATGCACATCTTTACTGTGGTCATTAAGGGCATCATGGGTAACTCTTGTTTCCCCAATTGACATTACTTGTCAAGTCAGTTAGGGAAGATCCGGAATAGCAATAACGTGATTTAATTGTGAATTGTGATCACATGACTGTGGGGATGCAGCAACAATTATAACTTTAGGAATGGATCACTTTTTCCAAGGCCATCATAACTTCTCACCATTGTTAATTGAACAGTCATAAACCTAGGACTACCTATATGGCGACAACTCTCTCAACATGGTGACTGGCATGTAAAAATAACTTCTAATAAATAAAAATCTTGATTTTTCATTGTACTGGATCTATCCTTGTCAGAACCAAATCTTCTGCCATGTTTATCAGTAAAAATTAGCAGAAATAGCATTCTTGATTCATCTCAGGATCGTAGGATATCTAAATACTCTGCTGATTGATGAAAACAGCTTTTGAGTGTACTAAAAATATTGCCCAGACTGTGAGCCTTGTTAATTGCTTAAGTCAAGAGTGAGGAAAAAACAAAGACATCACCAGCTACAGCTACAGAAGTGCTAAGAGGATTAGGGGCAAGGGTTATAGGGAAAAAAACATGTACCAGCCTTATTCTACCAGTCCATAAAGTGGCAGGTTCCCTTTATCCAAAACCAGGAACCACAGCTGATCCAAAATGGTTTGGCAAAACTTCAAGAACATGATGGTTTATTCTAAAATTAAAACATAAGATTTTCTATTTTATGCAAGCCCCTACTGATCTGTTGAAATTCACATAGAATTTGTGGTCAAAACTTTAAATGTTTAACTGATAATAATTAAGCATATACTTCTTTGACTATAAGAAGCAAACATTCATCACTTTCTCATTACAACCTCATATAATTGCAGCTTCATATAAGAAGTACAAATGCTTCAAATTAAAAAGGGTTGTAATTTGTTAAGTTATATCAGGCATGAATAAAAGCATTAACAGGGAAGAAAGAGGTGTTACCTATCTCCACACAGATGTGAAAAGACGTGGGCAACTACTTTTGGAAGGGGAAAAAAATGACAAACCACATTTGAAGTGAAACTCACATTTATTTAATTAAACAAAAATAAAATAAACTGCATAGAAACATTTTAAAGTCCATGGAGACCATGACTTTGTTTTAAGGCTGCTAGTAGCTGATACATCGTCTCCTTGCTACATCCTTCAGCCTTCTCCATGGACCACAAAGATACATTCAGAATCCCATTTGAAAAAAATCACAAGTTCTAACATTTTAGCTTGTCCAAATAAAGCTTGTGCCTCACCTTTTTCACATCACTCTGCAATCCAACAGCAATAGTTGGAGTGACCAAATTTTAAAAATTAACAACTTTCAATTGAAAAAATAACCCTGGCCAATCCAGCAATAATACATAAAAGGGGTTTGTTCTATAAGAATCTATATTTTCCTCTAATAAAATAAAATCGATGTATGTTTGACAATATTTGAACCACTAAAAATTCAACTTGCTTTATAAAATAGTATATTTTCCAAAGCTAGGCAGAATTTTAAGTAGTTCTGCAAATAAATGAATTCTTAAAAAAAATTGGGAGAAAATGGATTTATAAGTTGTTAAGACTAATCAATGGAGGATTTGGTCTGCAGAGTTTCTATGCTGAATTTTTTATGTTTTTTGGTCTTGGACCAACCACAGGGTTTAGGCACGGAAAAATACTGGAAATGCTTTTTTCAAGAAAATAATCACCAAGGCATGTCATACTACTGCTACTTTAAAAAAGGGGGTAGGGGATTAGCACTATATAAACAGATATGCAATAGGTGAGGCACAGTACAAGGAATATCACATACAAGATAGGAAAAGCATCAGTTTGGATGAGTGAACACACATTATATAACCTACTGAAAAAAAATATATATGAAGGGAGGCTACAAACAAGATCTCCCTTGGGAAAGAAATCTATAATGCTACAAAAAGAACTTACAGGTTTGGTGACTTAAAGAATACCACACCCTACTACGTACACTAAACATTCAGTGACCAAGCTCTGAAAGGAGCTTCCCAGAAAGTAAGTCAACCTGAGTTTGTGAGTTGATACAATCATTGAAGTGGTCTAAGACCATGCAGATACACAGACATTTTTTTAAATCTTTTTCCTGAAGAATCATTACTTGAAGATGGTGGTGGTGGTGCGGGGGGGGGGAGGGAAAAATGGACCTAATGTTTGTCAAGCTATAAAATCACTTAAAGGAATCCCATATTCCATTCAAGCTCAACTAATTGCAAATAGTTTTCTGTGCCTATTTCTCCAACTTCACTTATAAGCAAGTTGAGGAAATGGTGATAATCTACAAGGTGTCCACAGTGTGCTTTCATTGTATTTTTGCAGCATGTGGGAAACAATGGATGAAATAATCCAATCTAAGCTGATTTGGGTGAGAATCCTTTCTACCTAAATAAGCTGCTATGTGAAAATTTGCAAAACAAACAAAAAATCCAATATAAGAACCCTAAATCTCCTTTCACCCTGTGCTAATATAGGAGAACGTTATTTCCTTTCATAGACTCAACTGCTTTGGACAATTAACCGGACATTTCCAGATCTCCAGAAGGTGGCTTTTCTATCAGCTTGCTATAAATGAAATGTATTTCTTTTTGTCAGAGAGAAGGCCTATAACTACAGTGATTCTGTAAATAGAGTTAATTCATTATGCCAACCAGATAGGTTAAGTATTGAAATAGAGGTAGGGTTGTTCCCTAGACATAAGGTCACAGAGAAGGATGATTAATAGATTTGCTTGAGGTGTCCATTTTTAATTCAGATGTCCTTACACTAAAAGAAAACAGCCAGGTTAGATTCCAGGATGTATTGCTCTTTGGAGCAAGAACTAAAAAAATGCTACCTGGCTTTCCGGTGAATACCCAATTTCTCCTTTGACATCTGGAAGTTAACTTTGAGGTAGATGCTGTGCTTATAAAATTAACAGTGAGGTAGGAATTTAAAACATGTTTATTCAAGCATCCTGTACCACAGCAAATTGGGGCTTGCTGATTTCCCAAGGACTCAAGGATTATAAACAGCATTGTCTAAGTACCAATGTTTACTTTTTACACAGCTTAAAACTGTGTGGAGGTAGGATGAGGTATCTAAACTGTAAAAAAAAAAAAAAAAACATTACCTTTTGGCACCATCTGGATATGACCATTTAAAAAAAAACAATACATAAAATACTTTGGAACTATTTTGAACCAGAATAAAATATAAGAATCTCCTAATCTTCAAAAGAAATTAGAGATGTAGGTAAAATCAAACGGGTTTTTCTTCAATAAATTAATTTTGAACTTAATTACTTAAAAGTGACAGAATCAAATCATGCAATTCCAGCTGGATGCCGTAAGGAAGTACCTCCTTTAGTATCAGTCCTGATTAATCTTAGACAGAGTATCATTTATAGGGTTATCAAATGCCATTAAAGTTTCCCCAAAGTTTATTTAAGAGTACACTGGTTCAGTTTACTGTTGAAGTGCCTGCTATTTAGCTGCACCTCTTGACTTCCTATTGGGCTCTCAAGGAAAAAATAATAATTACATAACTAAATAGCTTATTTATTAGCCAAATTCAAATACTTGTAGCACAACCAGTCCCTAAATTTAGGTTAACTTTTTAAATATTTTGTAAATGAGATGTATTAGTTTATTAGCCATAAGCTGAAGAATAAACACATTTACAAGCTTTCAAACCTTTGCTCACCTAGTGTTAATTTGTATTCAATTTCTGCCAGTCAGGAACCCAGTTAAGTCCATCCCAAATAAAACCAGACCCCTAGGGGGCATTTTACATTGACATTATTTTTTTTCTATTATACTATTTAATTCACTGTATTATAAATACTCCTGTGAGAAACTTCCACAAAAATTTTAAAGTGAGATAACGTGTGCTTTTCATTACCTAATGCAGCAACTGGACAAAGTAAATTTGGCAGCCAAGCAGCAACATATAGAAATTAAAAGCTTAATAACACACTAACAGGAAAAATGTATGAAGATGCTATTTTTTTTAATTGTTTGCTTTGTGCCAAAATAGCAGGTATCTGCAATAGCAGTGAAGAAAGTATTTGTGGATGAAGAAATAAAAAACATATACCTTCTTCCCGATAGGGATCCTGTCTTTGCAATCTTGTATAGCCCCTTAATGTAGGCATGTAGGTGTGCATATATATGTCTTTCAAAAAGAGAACTACATTAATCATCAGTTTTATGATGTTAGAAAGAATGGATGGCACACTGTTACTGGACAAAAACTTCTAGAAATAGCATACTTTATGATAAGCCTAGCAGAAAATAAAGTTGGAATAAATGGAAATTACAGCTTCAATTAGAAGAACGTCAAGAAGTCTGTCAACAATAAAGCTTTTAACCAGTTATCTTTGGTAGCTATTTTGAAGAAACTAACATTAGGGTTTCAAGTACAAACTCTAATCTGAAATACCTTCATAGGTTATGCACTGGTCTTACATTAGGTTTTGCATCAAGACAGATAAACTTCTATTTCCAGTGACAATGCTCAAACTTAACCTCTTCATCAACTCCAGTAACAGTTTCTGATAAGTACAATGTGACTTATATGAGACAAGACTTATTTATGTCATATCCTGCCTTTATTATTTATTAAAGGCAGGGAGAGTAGAATTCCCCCTCCCCCAAAATAGAATGAATCCAAGAGAAGAACATCTTTTCAAGCATCACGATATGTAATCTTAAAACATTAACACCACCTCCATCATTACGATATTGGTCTGCCGTAGTTAAAAAGGCGATCCTTAGTTTCAGATATCCTAGTCTCTCATCCCTTAGCAGTGAAGCTCTTTTGCAACTTAGCTTTATATCAGTTGCGGCAACATTAAATATTGAAAGTAGCTTATATTTTATCAACTCTACCCCAAGCCTTATTTGAATCCTTGTACTCAGAAATATTGGTGATGACTAAAAGGGGACCGTTGGGTCTGCCCAACTGACTCATATAGCATAAGACATTAGAAATGCTACGATGGTTCAGTGAAGGATTATAAAATTGTAAGATTGTGAACTCCCTGAATCTCTGGGAGAAGGATATAGTAATTAATTATTTTATCAATGTAGCTATCCAGTTAAAGGATGAACTCAGTTTAATCACATCTAGAAGGTAATGCCTTGAAAAATGCAAAAGGCGCAGCTATAACATCTTGTTCTGATCAAAACATTCAAAGATAGATCTGCCAGTAATGAATATATGATTGGGTAGGAAGCATTATTTTTCATTAAAGAGCATTTCAATCACTACATGAAATGTTCATATTATCCCCTTCTGATTATTCAGTTCTAAAAAGAGGAGTCATCTTTTTGAAAACTCTCGGATTGCTGATTGCTCTTTCAGTATCAGATCTCCAAGCAGGATCCTAAATAGAAGACATTAGACTACATGACAGACATGACTCCAAGCACAGCCTTAGCATAGAGACTAAGCACCATAGCAACTCAGCACACATTTGCGCAAATATCAGTAAAGGTATATAAGGGTTAATGACAAATCAGGGAAGGAATTACATTCCTATGGTTTGATATAAAACTTGAGTTACAGAGCTTCTTGGAGAAGTATAAATATTCTCAGTATTTTCAGTGCTAAATGTGGCTGATTGAATTCAAGGTATTTAATAGTTTTGGTTTTAGATATGCACCCCCATTTTACATGGCATTCTTTGGCGCTGGAGCAAATGAGGTAGGATTTAGGGTGGTTCACTTTCCACAGTCTTTATCCCAAAGAGGGAGCCACATGGTTATCCTGTCAGGATAAATTTCCCATGTAGATGTTCCATTTAATAGGGAGGGGGAGCCTGAAAAAGGCAGGAAACCATCCACTCAAGATTACATACTATAGTCTATTTTTCTTCCTTATCATTAACTTCTGATATGCACCCTGAAATTCCAAATTTCAACTTCCCGTGATATATATATACCTGAAAAATCACATCTTGATAATGCTACATTACAAAAAGCTAATTTCTTTAACACAAACTTTCAAAACAGAAATATTGTATCATGCCTAAACATTTGACTCATTGTAATGGCAATTGCCAAAGTCATGTTTGTTACACATATATAAACACATACCGACAATATGTAAGGGAAGTGACTTAAAAAAAAAAGAACTGAAAGAAAGGTTATGAGAAAAAACACTAGCCTAAGAGGAAATCCTCATTTGCCTTGAACATCCAACTATATCAAAGCTACATTCCAAACATATCTTTTTGAAGTCAGAAGCTATTTGGGGAGACACATTCTCCCCCATGTAGCAGCTCCTTAGACAACAACAGAGGTAACTTCTAAAGTTTCCAGGTGTAGAGAGCAACTTTGCCTAGCAGATTAAAAAAGCTGTTTCCAGGAGCTAGTAGGCTCTCCAGGGCTATCATGGATGGGTGGTTTTGCCCTGCGGCCCTTTGGGCCAAAGTCCAAACTACCAAAATAAGGTTGAACATATCACAACATATTGTGCATTCTCAAACATTGTTTTGGTGTCATGAAATTACTGCATTTTTCAAAATGCACATGCAGAAAAGTACCAGTGACAAAGAACCTAGCCTTTTTTTTTTTTTGCCTGGTGATTTCCATCCCACTTCAAAAGAAAAGATGCTATGTGGAACAGTATATCAAATGCACTGAGGTATAAAAAAAGAGAACAAAGAAAAGATTTCTCTGCTGCAGCAGCATCTAAAAATACAGCTCCCTTCACCTTCTCCAATAAAAAAAAAACAGTACAATCTGAATATAAAACAATTAAAAATCTAAAACTACTGATTTTTTTCTTCTTTTTCAAGAGGAGTGTGCCTCTTTGGCAGAATCTACAAAATTTATCACACAACCAGCTAATGTGCACAGAAACAAGCTTGTGCATCAGTGTCCCACTTAGGGAAAAAGAGGCTTAATTTTATACTGCAACGTGTATACTGTGGAGGTAAAGGAACATAAAGATAATGAGGTAGATTAAGAGTTCATATAATCACAGGTTTAACCCCTGCAGATATAAAGGGAAAATACATTCATCTATAAAAAAATTAAAGATGAGGTAGGTTTGAACTATCATTGGAATATTTGTGTGTTTATGTGGGGCAAGATCTCTTAAAAGGATTTTCCCTGAGACAGTTTCTTCTTAGTACACATATACACAGATTAGAATATGAGAATTCGATTGTTCCCAAAGTCCACCACAACTATCATGCCATCTGGGGTGACGGTAATACCTGAAGGACGGTCCATCTGACCAAAGCCACTTCCCTGAGTGCCAAATTTGCATAAAAAACTACCATTTGGCTCAAAGATCTGTACCCGATGGTTTCTGGAATCTGCCACAATAATACGACCTTCCTGATCCACAGCCACACCTTGTGGGCGCAAAAACTGGCCATTATTTGTGCCTTCGGACCCAAGGAAACGGGCTGACTGACAGTCAGGACGAATGACTAGAAGACGATGATTGTTGAAATCAGTCACGACAAGATGGCCCTCGTGATTGAATGTCACACCTCGTGGGGAATCAAAGTGCTTCCAGAGTGCCCCTTCAAAACCATATTTATTCAGGAACACTCCATCAGGTCCAAACAATTGAACCCGATGATTCCTTGTGTCGGACACCAGGATTTTCCCCTCACAGTTAACTGCTACATCCCATGGATAATTGAACTGCCCATTCTTGGTTCCCTTCTCTCCAAACTTGAGAATGAACTGGCCATCAAAAGTAAAGATCTGGATGCGATGATTGTCCTTGTCTGCCACAACAATCCTTCGAGAGGAGTCACAGGCAACACCAGCAGGCCTATCAAACTGGCCAGGTCTGGCGCCCAAGGTGCCAAACTTGTGGTGAAAAGCCCCACAAGGCTTAAAGATCTGAATGCGGTTGTTGCTACGATCAGCAACAATGATATAGCCTTCCTTGTCTACACTAACACCCCAGGGGCGGCACAGCTTTCCATCACTATCCCCCTCACTAGCAAAACAGAGCCCCGGTAGTCCAATGCCAACATAACTGCGTCCTGATTTGACCATGACTTTAAATGGGCTGCTTTCTATATGCTGGTTGCACATCATGACTGAGATAAGATGTTCCCCTTCCATCTGTGGCCTGTAATTTACCAGATAAGTTCCATTCTGCTGGTCACAAATATCAGCCCCAAAGAGATTTCCATCTGGCCCCATTACAACAGCTGAAATCATGTCTCCCCCAGAAAGGCGGGGCTCACCATCATGATCATAACCTATCACTGAAAAAGAGGCTACTTTGCCTTGCAATGCACGTTTGAGACCCTCCCCAGTGGCTTTGGTCAGAGGAGCAAAGGCCCCACTGCTGACAAACCCCATAGACTTAATGGCCAAATACAGTGCTTGATCAGGAGGAGTAAACATGACCCTGTCATCCTCTTGAGGCTGCAGGAAGCCTCTTACATTCTTCATTTCCTGCATCTGTGCAAGCATCCGATCCCGTGCCAAGAGGATATCCATGTTCCGGCCCTCTTCTAAGACTTGCTGGACTGCGCTGATGGTGTTATCTAGCTTATTGAGATTTTGACGTAATTTCTCAACTTGCAAGTAGAGGGACTTGGCTTTCACTTGGCGGATTTTTTCCACCTAAAATAAGAGCAAGCAAACACATTTAGAACTATCAGCTACAAATACTGTAGAGGAGGGAACAAAATATTTGAATGTGCAAAAGTAAAATATGCAAAACCGTTAAAATTAATAAAGAATTTTAATACTCCTCCCAACTTAACATTACCTACTTTATTTAGGTATTGAATTTCTACCTAAATATTCTTGGAAAGCCAGCCCATAATGGTTTACAACATAGCATTATATAATAAAGTAACTAATAAAGTTGATATAAATACAAAATAATATATAACAAATCATATAAACATTGCTAAAAATAGCCATCAAGCAAATTGATGTATTTTTAATAGGGAATGCACTATTACCTCTTTTAATGCAGATGGTATTATCCTAGAGCAGTGTGGCAAACCTATGGCACGTGTGCCAGATGCGGCACTCGGAGCCCTCTCTGTGGGCACACGTGCAGTTGCCCCAGACTCACCTCTCCCCACAACCCCCTCCTCTCCAGCAGTCCCCCTGGAGGAGAGTCGCCCCCTCCACATGGAGCAGCGCAGCCAAGGACATGGTAGCCAGGCAGCATAGACAAGACTCTGCCCTCATGCCCCATCCCGCACAGTTAATGCTGCAGGGCGCGGGCAGAGGGTGTGGCCGCCATGGCACTGCTGGGCTGCCTGGGTGATCTGTAGTGGGCCCTGGAGGCAGTGAGTGACCCTGTGGGCAGGTGGGGTGGAGGACGGGATGGGGCAGGGGGTGGAGCGGGGGTGGGGCCAGTTTTTGGGCACTCGGTCTCTAAAAGTTTTGCCATCACTCTTCTAGAGAAAGGATGTGGTGAGAATAGAACATATTTAATAGACATTTCCCAACCAGTTCTAACCAAAAGAGAACTATGTTCAATAAACATAGGTAATAACTCTCTTTCAGCCAAGCATCCTGTCAAATTGTGACAGGTCTGTGGTAGTTATAAACCTGTGAGACAATCCGAGAGATTGATCACAGCCAAGATGTTGAAGTTTTCATATGTCAACAACTTAGAGACTCCAACATTGGATTAAAGACAACTCCAACTATTCAAGTACAGAGAATATTGGGCTGAGGGCTGCCTGGTACACAAATAAATGTTATCTGAATTCCAGACACACTCACACAGTTCTGTAGCTCGATGAAATTGTGGTCTGTTGCATCATGGTCTGGAAGAAGAATACAGTCCTTAGTAATGAGGGCAGCACCTTTTCCCTGCCTTCAACTCTTCAAATCTGGGCTTAGATGCTATTAACTAGCTCAGTGGTGGCAAACCTATGGCACTGGTGCCAGAGGCGGCACTTGGAGCCCTCTCTGTGGGCACACGTGTCATTGTCCCAGTCTTGCCTCCTCCCGTGATCCCCTCCCGTGATCCCCTGAAGAGAGTCGCTCCCGAGTGTGGCCCACACAGAGCAGCACAGCCAAGGACATGGCAGCCAAGTAGCATAGACAAGACTCTGGCTCACACCCCATCATGCAGTTGATGCTGCAGGGCGCGGACAGAGGGTGTGGCCACCATAGTGCTGCTGGGCTGCCTGGGCGATCTGCGGTGGGCCCTGGAGGGGGTGAGTGGTCCTGTGGTCAGGCGGGGCAGGGGATGGGGGGCAAAGCAGGGGCAGGGCGGGAGTGGAATGGGGGCGGGGCGGGGCCAGTTTTTGGGCACTCAGTCTCTAAAAGGTTCGCCATCACTGAACTAGCTCATCAAATGAAGTCTCTATTACATAGCCAAGTTAGCTTTTCCAACCTGAATACAATCCCCCAAGAAGTTAATTTTATTAGCCACCAATAGCAAAAGGAAAGACTTTGAGAAATTACTAAAGTGTCTGACTGTCCAAAATAGGTTGATGGCTGGTTTTAAAGAAGGAACACTACCTACTTAACTTACTCTCTCCTGGAATAGCCTGCTTTAGCTGTATAAGAGTAACTCCATGTACAGTAGGACTTCAACATCTGTTACATCTCCCCCTGAAAATACCTTGATTCCTAACTAGATTTTCCTAATGTCAATCTGGCTTATTTTCCAAAACCCATCTCCAAAAATCTATTTGAGTATAACCTTCCAATATATAACTAACCCCCATAACCCCCATGCGGTCACTTGAATAAATTAATATAGTATCCTAGCTCACAAACTTAGATCCTACAAGAAAACAATTCTTGGGGGAGGGCAAGCTTTAACTAGTCAGCGCCACACAATTATTGCAGCAAAAACCAGTGCATAGGTGGGCAATCAAATGACTGTTATAAAGTACCAGTCAGCAGCAATAATGGTAATTAATAATGGTAGCAAGTGACCAGCAAGACTCTCAACAACTATTGGGCAATTAGAAACTTCAACAATAACCACCACAGTGGACAACGATGCAGGATGAACACCTGAATAAAAAATAGTTACTTTTCCCAGCATCATTACTTATAGTCTGCGACTTCCTTCTCCCTTTGTATCTCTCTTCTCTGCTAGAATGCCAACATTTAATATCCTAAATCAAAACTTTATATAATACTTTCTTCTTCCACAACAGTCTGCTATGTCAAGCTTTATCACTGATATCAATTCTTCTTTGATTTACTCCTTCATATCTGTTTTGTTCACTAACAATTAGTGAACAATTTTCACAGAAATTTCATCATACACCCTCCTTTTCTGGCACTGTCCCAACACCATCTTCCCTATTCTGTTCTAATAGTGACACAATATCCAGCTCTATTTCTAGTTGCTGTTCTGACCCAGTTCACTAGTCTTTTCCATGCAACTTTTTAATTAGATCTTCCACAAATTATCTTCCATAATAACAAGATATTTATACTATTTAATTGTAAAATTTTACCCCAGATGCCACCATTTAACTTATGCCATTTTAAAAAAAAATACTTCCATACAGAGATAAGTTTAGAGATTTCTCAAAAATGTACGATGCAGTCAATTTCATTTGACTCTTCATATTAAGATGTATAGCTATCAAGCCATACAACTCCAGCTGGATCTGTTTAGACTTCTCTTCTAAGCAGGAATTCTTTGTTTTTTTGTAAAAATGAGGTTGAAAGAACTTTGTTTAAATGGATTCTCAATTATAACAACTTTTGTTTGTGAAGACAGGATATGGCAAAATTACCATCTTTTATAAGCAACTTTCCTTTCATAGATAATTAAAAAAACATAGAAGTATACCACTGAAGTTCATAGATGTATTTTTTTACCTTCCACAGCAGCTCACATTCTCTTTCTTCTAAAGCCTTCTTGTGTCTGGAAGTCACAGCCTTCACTTCAGATTGTACCATTTTTGCCTTCATTTCAACTTGTTCTGCTACAGCTTGGGCTTGCTCAATACTCAGCTATAAAAAAAAAAGAAATACTTTTTAGTCAATTAATTGTACAATAGAAGACAGAGCATTTATTAAGCAATTCATTTTATTTTTAGAACTGAAGCACAAAATAATCCAGTCTACCAAATAGAAACATAAGGTATTTAGAGCATGTTCAAATCTTGACCAATATAATCAGCCTTTGAAAGTGGGCTGGCAATGGCCGATTCCATTATTAACATCAGAGCAGTGTTAAAATCTTCTGTGAATTAGGAACTAGTAAAACAGACTGTTTTTCTCAGAAACAGTGATTTTTCCAAAATGGTATATTTCCCCAGATCCACATCTCTTGGCTCAAATAATGCATATACAGTGGGGCAAAAAAGTATTTAGTCAGCCACCAATTGTGCAAGTTCTCCCACTTAAAAAGATGAGAGAGGCCTGTAATTGTCATCATAGGTAGATCTCAACTATGAGAGACAAAATGAGAAAACAAATCCAGACAATCACATTGTCTGATTTGGAAAGAATTTATTTGCAAATTATGGTGGAAAATAAGTATGTGGTTAATATCAAAAGTTCATCTCAATACTTTGTTATATATCCTTTGTTGGCAATGACAGAGGTCAAACGTTTTCTGTAAGTCTTCACAAGGTTGGCACATACTGTTGCTGGTATGTTGGCCCATTCCTCCATGCAGATCTCCTCTAGAGCAGTGATGTTTTAGGGCTGTTGCTGGGCAACACAGACTTTCAACTCCCTCCAAAGGTTTTCTATGGGGTTGAGATCTGGAGACTGGCTAGGCCACTCCAGGACCTTGAAATGCTTCTTACGAAGCCACTCCTTTGTTGTCCGGGGTGTGTGTTTGGGATCATTGTCATGCTGAAAGACCCAGCCACGTTTCATCTTCAATGCCCTTGCTGATGGAAGGAGGTTTGCACTCAATACATGGCCCCATTCATTCTTTCCTGTACACGGATCAGTCGTCCTGGTCCCTTTGCAGAGAAACAGCCCCAAAGCATAATGTTGCCACCCCTATGCTTCACAGTAGGTATGGTGTTCTTTGGATGCAACTCAGCTTTCTCTCTACCCCAAACACGACAAGCTGTGTTTTTACCAAACAGTTCTACTTTGGTTTCATCTGACCAAAGGACATTCTCCGAATCCTCTTCTGGATCATCCAAATGCTCTCTAGCAAACTTCAGACGGGCCCAGACACGTACTGGCTTAAGTAGGGGGACACGTCTGGCACTGCAGGATCTGAGTCTCTGGCGGCGTAGTGTGTTACTGATGGTTGCCTTTGTTACATTGGTCCCAGCTCTCTGCAGGTCATTCACTAGGTCCCCCCATGTGATTTTGGGATTTTTGCTCACCGTTTTTGTGATCATGTTGACCCCACGGGTTGAGATCTTGCGTGGAGCCCCAGATCGAGGGAGATTATCAGTGGTCTTGTATGTCTTCCATTTTCTAATTATTGCTCCCACAGTTGATTTCTTCACACCAAGCTGCTTGCTTATTGCAGATTCAGTCTTCCCAGCCTGGTGCAGGTCTACAATTTTGTTTCTGGTATCCTTTGACAGCTCTTTGGTCTTCACCATAGAGGAGTTTGGAGTGTGACTGTTTGAGGTTGTGGACAGGTGTCTTTTATACTGATAACAAGTTCAAACAGGTGCCATTAATACAGGTAAAGAGTGGAGGACAGAGAAGCCTCTTAAAGAAGAAGTTACAGGTCTGTGAGAGCCAGACATTTTGCTTGTTTGTAGGTGACCACATACTTATTTTCCACCATAATTTGCAAATAAATTCTTTCTAAATCAGACAATGTGATTATCTGGATTTGTTTTCTCATTTTGTCTCTCATAGTTGAGGTCTACCTATGATGACAATTACAGGCCTCTCTCATCTTTTTTAAGTGGGAGAACTTGCGCAGTTGGTGGCTGACTAAATACTTTTTTGCCTCACTGTACCTTCTCCTGCCATGAACTTTGATTTAAGCTACTACACAGGAATCTCCATTCACATATATTAGACCTTGCTTCTTTTAATTCATTCACAGTATATATAGTTACATCAAGTTTTGTGAAAAAGAGGATCCTTGTACTTGCCTATCAAATCATATTCCCATCAGCCTTCCTCATTCAATTCAATCAATGGAACTACTGGAAATATCTGTATTCGTCGTAATAGCATGGACCAGCCTCTACCTGCATCCCAGCTGGAGACCTTACAGTAGATTGAATCCAGCCATTCAGGATTTTGAGTGTGTTCCCCTTCAATATGCCTTGCAGTTCTCTGCTCTTAATTTCTGTTTGTTCAGATTATACTACTTTGTGAAGTTGTCTTATTACAAAAACAGGAATTTTGTAATGTTCATGTAATATCTCCGGTCCATCAGTGCACATAAGCAACATACATTTTATTGTGGGCTGAGGTGGTCTCCCATGGAGAATGAGACACACACGCAGCAGGTATCTCGGGATGGGAGCCCAGAGCTGACTCCAGCACCCTATTTTATTGTTACTAAGGTTTTTACATCACACAGCGTAAGCAAAAGACGTATATAGGGATGGTTACAATATATCAAATAACAGACACTTTCCAGATGCAAGGCTACAGCAGGTGTTCTTATCAGAGTCTGTCCAAATGGTTGATGAATGCATCCTGTGTCTAGAGCCTCCATTTGTTATCTCTGGGGCCCTTGTGGGAGATGTCCATGGGCATTTGTGCAATTAATCCCACATCTCCTCCTTTTCTGTTTTTTCAACGTTACTCACTTCCAGTTCCAGAAGGGATCTTGATTCACTGATTAAGGTGTCCTTCCTAGTGGAGGGCGTAACATTTTTGCACATTTGCAGGAGGGAGGGAATACACTGAATGCAACAACATAGCAATACAAATAATATCAAAATGGTTACTATAATAGAAATCAAAATCGTAGCCAGGATCCATCCGGTAGCCAGGACCAAAGGGCACCCCAGATATCCACGGTGCCTGATCCATCACTGCGTAAGGGATTATTTTGTAGCAGAAATTGCATTTTCCTGGGTGTAGCAGAAATATTAGGTTGAAAATCATGTATATACATACAACAATGAGAATGAATTAAAGCACACACACCGCCTTTTGCTGCTAAAATAATATCTAAAGCATACCGATTTTGCAAAACTACTTCCCTTATTTCCCCCATTTCTTGATTAATCATTTTAATGCTGTTGATTGTTTCATTAAACATATGAACAGTCCAATTGTTAAGCAAATGAAGGTCTCTATAGTTCATGGCAACTCCTAGATTGGGTAGAATCCCTCTGCTGATTTAGTCTCTAAACTACCACCCAATGTTAGGGGTGGATCTGAGGAGCCAGTATCACGTTTGTTCCGCAGGCGTCCATCAGGGAGATGAGGCAAGGCATATACAGCAGGAGTCAAAAGGCCCAGTGTACAGGTGCCTTTCCAATCCTTAGGCACCTGGCAATAGGCTCTACGGCCACATAGTAGCCACATATCGGGTAACTCATAATAACCCTGGTGAGACTCATTAGCAAATGTTATTATGGATTCCATGTCAAGGCAAGCTATGTAGGTACTGATGTTTGTCCATTGATTGCTTCGATAAGTGTCATTTATCTTAGTAAGGTTGCTTTTGATGGATTTGCATTTCTTTGCTGAATTCCATATAATAACTTGTTGACAATTACTATAAGTTCCCAAATAAGTAGCAGTACGGAATAGTCCTGTGCTATAAAAACAAAATCTGGCAGGTTCCATTATACGAGCACTCACAGCATATGTCATATTCAATGTCTCTGTAATTATGCTCCACAGCTGCTTCCATCCTGTTTCATTGAACGGAATGGCATGGAAAATAAGACCACCACGACTGTCACCAGGAATTTGCATGCAAATCCAACAGTTTGTGACGTTAAGTGTAAGAGCAGTGCGCCTGGCATCCCGTACAAAAGCATTAAAAGCCCACAGTCCCTGATCCTCATATGCCTGGCTGAGGTGGTGTACGTTGAGCCATATAAGGATGAACACAACGAGCTGGAGTCCAAATGATCTCGCCATGGTCGTCTATTGCAGCATAGCCTCGACCCCAGGTAATGAGGGAGGCAGGCCCTTTCCAGGTGGGATCAGGCAAACGTCGATAGTATACCTGGGGGCGTGAAGAATCTGTGGGAGAAGCAGAAAAATGCCTGCTTGTGGCAGTTGAGCCAGGGGTGCCAGAAACATTCAAAAAGTTTAAGGTAAAAACTACAAGATTAAGAGTGTTTTGTATCCCAGGCAAGCTGGGGGTATTTTCCCCTTTCTTTTTTGCATGCATGTCTAGAGCCCTTTTTACGGTCTGATTGGCTCGTTCCACGTTCGCTTGACCAGTGGAGTTATATGGAATGCCAAATTTATGAACAATAGACCAGCGAGAACAAAACTGCGCAAAGGAGGTGCTGGTATAAGCAGGAGAGTTATCAGTCTTAATTTCTTTTGGATTGCCCAGGGTAGAAAAAGTACGAATACAATGATTAATAACATGTTTAGCAGACTCACCCCTTTGGGGGGTGGCCATAATAAAACCTGAATAGGTGTCAATGGAAACATGCAAATATTTCCAAGGGGCAAATGGCAAATATTGCGTAAAATCTATTTGCCAAAGTTGACAGCTCTGCGTCCCTCTTGGGTTGACCCCTTGAGGAACAGAGTGTGCTTGGAGGCTGCAGGTGGGACATTGTTGTATGATAGCCGCAGCCTCCGTAGGTGTTAAAGAAAATTGTTTCATTAAAGCCTTCTTATTTTGATGAAAATATGAATGGCTGTCCCATGGAGTTATGGGAGATAAAACAAGGACAGAAACATCCTGGTGAGTGGAGGCGGCTGAAGCGGCAGCATCCGCCTTGGCATTGCCTTCGGAGATAATACCAGGGAAAGGTTGGTGACTTCTAATATGAGCAGGAAAAAAACAAGTAGAGCGGGAATGAAGAAGGGATTGAAGTGTGAGAAATAGACTGAGGAGAGAGTCATCCAGTGAGGGTGACACA